TCCAAATTAAAATTATCCAAAGACACACAGAGGTTAAGTACTGAACATCAAAGACAAAAAGTCGCAACTATAACTGTCAGAGAAGAGGTTAACGTGGAGCTTCTCAAAATCATCATGAACACAGAGCATTTGTGCATATTTTAGGAGTCAGCTCACACAGCCCAAGTCTGGGGTACACAGCACGTGAATCAACAGCCACGCACAACCCAGGGAATGGCACATGTGCTCCCAGGCGTCCCGGGCCTGTCCTCTTGCCTCTGTCCTGCCCGGTTCCCAGTAGCCACTGGTCTGCTTCCTGTCCCCATTCCTTGTTCTGCATTTGCAAGCCTGTGTATCATTTCTTCCAGTTTCTTCTACTCAGGACAGCTCTGGTCAGCTCTGGCGGTCTGTGTCTTTCCAGGAATCTGATGAAGTTGTAGGATGTATACACGCACCAGTTTTCTAAACGTTCCTTTACCACTTTAATGTTCTTAGACTCTATACAGATGTCCCTTTCTCACTCTTGACATTGGTAATTCATTTCTTTTTCCTCACTTGTTTGAGTAGAGGTTTATTAATTTTATCAATCTTCCTGAAGAAGCAACTTTTGGTTTTATTTTCTCATGTCTTTCTGTAAACCATTTCAATGATTTCTGCTCTATCTTTATCATTTCCTTTTTTAGTTTGAATTTAATTTTCTCTTCTTTTTATAGTTTCTTAAGAGGAACCCGAAGCTTTGGTTTGAGAACTTCCCTCTACTCTTAATGCCAGGGTTGACTGCTACAATGTTCTCCAAATTAGGGTTTCCTTCCTAGGAAAATTGACATTTTTGACATGTTAAGCTTAAAATACTTTCTAATTTCCTTCTGTGTTCTTTAACTCATGAGTTACTTAGTTTTCAAGTATTTGAAGATTCTCCAAAGGTCTTCCTGTTACTAACCTCTAATTCCCTTACACTTGAGAGCATGCTTGAGATATGACTTTAACCTTACTGGGACTTGCTTTCTGACCCAGAATCTGGTCTATCTGGGTAACCATTTGAATGGACTTGAAAAATAATATGCATTCTGCTGTTGTTGGGTACAGTGCTCTATGAAGACCAATTATCCAGGAATTTGATCATGGTAGTTAAATACTCTTCTTAATGAGGCTCTTTTCCTGAGGTACCATTTACATACCATAAAACTAGCCCTTTTAAAGGCTACAATTCAGTAACTTGTAATACATTCCCAAAGATGTGAGCCCATCGTTACCTGACTCCAGAACATTTTCATCACCCCAAAAGAGAACTCAGCCCATTACCAGTGGGTTCCCCACCTTCCCCCCAAACCCCAGCAAACGTTAGTCTGCTTTTTGCCTCTTTTGATCTGTTTTGGACATTTAATAAAAATTGAATCACCTGGCAGAATGTTCTTGAGTCCATGGGGGGAGCACGTTCCAGTACTTCACTTTATTGGTGAGTAACCCACTGCGTGGATATACATGTTTGGTTTCTTTCCTAAGCTGACAGAATGCGGAGTGCCTCTACATTTTGACCATTATGAATAATGCTGCTGTGAACATTTATATACAAGCTTTTGTGTGGACATAGGTCTTCATTTCTCTTGAGCGTAGTTCTAGAATTGCTGGGTCATGTGGTAACTCTTTTGAGGAAGTGCCCAGGTGTTTCCCAAACTAGCTGCACCAACTTCATTCCCAGAGTGGTATAAGTGGCTGTAGTCACTTCCCACCGCACTGGCACATGTTGGTATCTGTCTTCCTTACTATAGCCACCCTGGTGGGCAGGGCCAAGCCTCATGGACGCCATGATCTGAGCACTCCTGGTGGTGAAGATCTGAGCAGCTTTCTAGGCCTCCGTCTCTGTGCATCTCCTCTGAGGAAAAGCCCAGCCAGGTCCTCTGTTCATTTTACAAAGTTGTGCTGCTGTTTTGCGTGTAACAGATTTGTACAGCATGGGTCCAAGGCTCTCATCAAGATACCCAACTTGGGAACCTGCATCTTTTCATTTTCTTCACAGTGCCCTTTGGAGTATAAACGTTAATTTTGATGAGTTAATTTATAGCCACTGAACATAGCAGTATATGTTCAATGTCACTGGAGATTAAAAATAAGGAACAACACAGCTTTTAACCAAATAAAGTTGAAAATATGAATATTTAAAAATTAAATGTATCGTTAGCAAAGATTTTAGGCCTCACATCACTCCTGTAGGAATTTAAGTTGGACAGGCTTTCCAGAGACAATTTGGCAATATATCTCAAAATCCCTAAAGTCTTATGGATACTGTGACCCAATAACTCTACCGCTAAAAATTTATCCTAAAGAAAAAGTTGAATAATTTTACAGAACTGGATCTTTCTCTCAGCACAGTGCATATATACTAATAAATTAAGAGAAAAGGTCTCATAAGAGGGTTACACCAAATGCACCGCTGCATCGCCAATCCCGGTGTGATCATGATGAGTGAGGGTGCAGACACAGGGTCACCACTCCAAGACGTCCACTGACGCCAGACGTGGCCTGGCGAGGGCAGATGCCCCTCCCAAGAGCAGATCCATCAACAGACTGATTCCAGACACAAGGTGTGCGTGATGGGGGAGGCTGGAATACCTCAGTCTGACCAAATATATGTGGTATTTCAAAAGAAACAAGAAATTCAGTTTTATATGAAAGTTACTGATTTTCAAAAGTTGTCTACTGCTTAACATTTTCGAAGGTTTAGTGGCCAAATAAAAACACAATGTTTATGGACTAGAATTCAACAGGAAAGCCAGGAGCTCCAATGTACACTTGTACTCACTGACGTAGATATCCTTGAGATGCCGTTAATGTTTTAAGAATCCTGTTATAAACAGTTTATATCGCATGAAGTCATTTTTATTAAAAATGAAAGACAATTTATATATAAGAATAAGCCCAATGTTAATAGTAGGTGATTTTTATTTCCATTTTTATACATTTTTCTGCTTTGGTATTTTTCTATAAATCACTACTATTTTGTTTCACAAAAAATATATCTTTGTGGTTGTACAGGAGAGGATTAGTAGTGCAGTTTAAAATTTTGAGAATAAAAATTGCCAAATAAGCACTCAGGCACGTAACAGCACCCAGATCTGAGTTCAGAATCAGTCCTCGCACGATACCCTCAGTGGCCTGGGCCCTCTCACCTGCGAAGCTCAGTGGACAACCTCGGCCGCGGAGAGGTGGCCGGAGCAGGCCCTGATCGCTTGCCCTCTCGGCTCCTCCGCTCCACAGCTGCACCCGCTGCAGTGGCCACACACGGGCAAAGCAGCTCCAGGACAAATTCGGGAAGGGCCTGACGAGGCTGAGCGCTGGGTGTGACCACATCTTGACATCCTGGGAAGTTTGTCCTCCTCTCCCCTCCCACCTTCCACATTGCAGGCCGGCATGGGCCCTCACCGCGGCCAGGGGTGACAGGCCCAGGTGGGAATGAGTTTGTGTCACCTGCATCGGCTCGCTCCCCAGCAGCGGCTCAGACACCTGGGTCTCGTCACCCCTGTCCCGGCAGGGACACGCACTGGAGGGTAAGGATATTTCCTGGACACCGTGGAACCACTGGAAACTGAGTTCAGGTGCCTCGGCCCCCAGAGCCCATGAGCCTTTCAGATCTTTTTAAAGATTTTTCTTTTCTTTTCTTCTGGTAACAGAGGTTGAACGCAGGGCCTTTGCACTGAGCTACATCTTCAGCTACAACTTTTTATTCTGAGACAGGGTCTCACTAGGTTACTCAACTGCCCAAGTTGAATTCAAACTTGCGATCCTCCTGCCTCATTTTCCCAGTGTGGACCACCATGCTGTCTTCAAGATATCTGTCATATTGTAACATTCATTACACATCCTTTTTCAGTTACTTCATAATGAAAGAAAACAAGAAAAGGGCTTTTCACTATCTTTACTCCCTCAGTAATGTGCAATAGGAACACAGTACGGTTAAGAAGTCAGAAACAACACAGCAGCCAAAGAAGATGTTTGTATTTGCAAAATTTCAACAATTATCTTCTCTGGATTCCCCCAATTAGCATATTTGTTAATCAAATTAATTAAGAAGCTTTTCAAAATAAAAGCAATGTTTTAAATAAATACATTCTTTCATAACCATAGAACATTTAGTTCTGTTGGAGGTAATGAATATTATACTCAAGTACTTTATGAAGACATTAGGGTAAAAATGATCCAGATGTAATTATAGATACCCTAATTAGTCATTTGCTTCTTTCTGCATGTTTGTCTGCATGTGTTAAAATCATAGCTGTTTTGTGTTCAGTTCTGAAGTCATCACGAAAACATTAACTGACCCATGGAATGTGTGTCAGCTCCTCACAGTGATACGGAACTGTCTGAGCAGTGCTTAAATTTACCTTTAGTCCCCTGAACTGAATCCCATCAAACCAACAACCCTTGGTGCCCAAGTCTGTAGAGAAAATGAATGCTAGACTCCCAGTTCAGAGAAATGCAACCTTCCTACAGACCCTGAAACTCCATAATCAAACGCTACTGTCTTGTCAAAACCCTGCTCCAGGAGCACTCTCACTGTGTTCTGAGTACTGAGTGAGTGGGCAGAAATTCACTTATGATCACTGAAATTGCATGTTTAGTAAATGACTACAGGAAACTTCCTAAATATTTATTTTATTTAATATTTTAAAGAGTTTGCTAACTGAAGAAATGACTGTTGTTAATCTTTCCAGAACTTCTAAACATTTAATTTTTCATTTTTAAATCTCTACTGTGATTCTTACGAATTTTTAATCTATGTTTAACCTATCCAAACACCTATGCTTTGGCAAATTTGGCTTTCTTCAGTAATATGCTATACTAAGATCTCTAAAGTAACGACAACGGCAGAGACGTAACATTCAACACAGTGGTAGGTTACAGGAAGTGCTCATTAGAATTTCAGATTAACAAATTTGTCCCAAAATGATGATAAAGACAGGAATAACTTACTAAATGAATAATGCAACACTAAATGGACTTCAATCTCTCCCTCTCTCTCTCTCTCTCTTTCTCTCTCTCACACACACACACACACCCACACACAGGTGAGTACACACAGCTCAGGGTTTAAAACACTGCTTCTAAAGGTTTTAACTTAGATAAATTAAGTACATTGAAATACTGACATTGTGGAGAAATGTTTCTGTCCAACACCCCACGAGGGCGTCTTTTGCAAACTCCCAAGACCGCGAAGGAAGGAAGAGTGCATGGGGCGGCACGGCGCTGCAGAGGCCGGCGGGTCAGGGCCGCCCGCTGTCCTCACCGCCCTCCCTCTCCTCGATGGCCTCCAGGCTGCGCTTGCCTTTGGCCTCAGCCCCGCCGCCGGGTGCCCTGCTCAGCCCACAGGACAGGCAGGCCAGCTGGACCTGCTTCATGTTCTCCAGGGCCTCGTGCTTGGCGCTCTTCAGCAGGTCTCCTTGTCCCTGCAGACAGGCGAGAGGGACAGCAGGGAGTTAAGGGCAGCTCTGCATGCTGGCGCCGGGGTCACAGAGCCTCGTGCAAGCTCACGCCCCAGCTTTGTACATCACAAATGGCTTTGCTCTTCGGGCCCCAGTCACTGTGCAGTCTGTAGTGGCCGGAAGTCTCTAGACCACAACAGTGCATGCCTCGTCTCCCTCCATCCCTCCATCCTGGGCCTCAGACCTCACAGCCCCCCAAGTCTCAAAGGGGACAGGTGGGGGCCTCCCCGGTGCTGCAGAGGAGCCCAGCCCTCAGTGTGGGAGCTCCTCTGCCTGCTGAGTGGCTTCCAAGACCAACTGAGTGGACACAGCACCGCCCCGTTGCTCTGCGCTGTCATCCTGGGGACACTGCTCCCATCAGACTCACTGGGGAGTCTCCAGCCAAAACCAGCGTGAAGGAGGACAGCGGTCCTGGACACCTGCGCCTGGGAAAGACTTCTTCCCTGCTACCTTGCTTCCTGTATTTTAGTTCACTGCCACCGTGCTCTAGTATCCGCACTGCGACAGGCACCAGGGCAGAGGCACACAGACACCCCAGGCCACCCCCGGTCCGTGCCTGGGGTGTGACCCCAAAACTGAAGGGGCAGGGAGGAGAGGGTGACACCAGAAAGAAGAATTGCCTGATATGGTCCATGGCAACAGCTCTGCCATTTGGGGAATGCGCTTTCCTGGCACCTTGAATATGTAATTCAGCAACATCTTCATAAGCACTTGATAGGTCCAGTGCTTTAATAACAGCCTTTAGTTTCAAGGGCTGGGCAGTCCAGGACTTCAGTCCTAGCCACTTCATGGTAGGGCATCTTTCAAAGGCAAATCACCAACTCCCTGCAAAGCACCCGGAAGCCACCTACTCATTGCTATGCGCGGCAACCACAGAGACAGAAAAGAAAAGCCTTGCTCACGTAACACAGCCTGACAGAACTTAGAGAAGGGATCTGGGACTGGGAAGACAGGGTGTAGCCAGAACACACTGGTGGGGATAGTGAATTCTGAATTTCAAAAATGTATTACCACGAAGACACATTGCCATTAGTCCCCTCGACTTCCTCGCCCTCACTTTGAAAACGCTTAACCCATCATTCTCAGCAATTTCTGAAGCAGCTCTGGAGTCCCCTCTTTCCTGAGGGTCTTTACAAGAAGAGGTAAAATACGGTGACTGCTGCTGCCAAGTGCTATCCAGTGGTCAGGCAGGCTCATAAAAACATGATGCTGTGTCCTCCTCCACCTGTTCACCAGCTCTGGCTCCCTGAGACTTCTGGCTCTTCCCAAAACTCAAATTGACGACAAAAGGGAAACATTTTGGACCAATTCAGGACAATGCAGCAGCCACAACAGCGCAACTAAAGACTCTCAGGAAAGAGAATTCCAGAGTTGCTTCCAAAACGGGCAAAAACGTATATACAAAGTTAGGGGCAGTATATTCAGGGGAATAAATGACAGTTTCCTTTGTACTATAATATATATTTTTTTAATCTTTAAACATTCACTGTATGTTTTGATCACTCCTTGTATCCATCAATTTCAACCTGATCCATGTTCTTTACTACAAAAATGATGAAAATGTACTGTGACCCTCCTCCCACTTCTAAGATCAAGGAGAACATGTTGAAGAGCTGCTTAAGACTTAAGGATTATAATGCAACAAGATAATTTGGATATTTTCATACCTTTCTTCTCATCAAGTTCATTACTGATGTATACAAGTCCTAAAATTAAAGACCCAGTCAAGAAATGAGCAAGAGAAATGAACAGACACTTTACAGAAAAGAATTACAAATGGTCAAAAAATACATGAAAAACATCTCTGGCCATTAGAGAAATGCAAATTAAAACAACTCTTACTCCAGGAAGAATGGCAATCGTGAAGAAATCAAATGATAACAAATGCTGGTATGGCTGTGGTGAAAAAGGAACCCTCCTGCATTGCTGATGGGAAGATAATCTAGTACAACCACTGTGGAAATCAGTATGGAGATTTCTCAAAGAACTGAAACTAGAAATTCCATAGGACCTGGCTATCCTCCATCTAGGCATCTTCCCCAAAGAGCGTAAGTCATCATACTACAGTGACGCACACAGACCGACGTTTACAGCAGCACAATTCATAAATCCTGGAGCAACCTGTGTGCCCATCAACCAGTGATGGAAGAAAATGTGGTATCTAAACACTCAGCTATGAAGAATGGCACATCTGAGGCATTTGTAGGAAAATGGATGCAGCTGGAAATAGGATGTTTTGTGAGATAAACCGGACACAGGCTTGAAGACTGTATGGTGTCTCTCATTAGAGTGGGGCAAAGTACAGACAAAGAAATGATGAAGGACGGACAGAAGGGGACAGGAGACGGATCACTTGCAATGGGGAAGGGGTCCAAGGGGACAAGGACGAGGGGTGAGGCGGAGGGGAAGGGAAGTCAGGAGAGGGAAGAGGCGCCCTGTACAGGAACCTGATCACCTCGGTGAGTGTGCATCATACACCGTAACGTGAGCTGAGGTTAATGAGATCAAGAAAAACGAGAATCAGGATATGGAAATGGGAGGAGGGAGAAAGAAGGAGGGAAAAAAGGAAAGAAACAAGCTGTGACATGCGCCTATACCCAGCCCCCAAGATGACTGTAAACTGCATGTACTGCAAACATGTACTAATAAAAATTTTAAGTAAATTAATACCTTAAAATCTGAGAAAAACATGATTTGGAAAGCAGCGAAATTTTCCACTACTATAAAACTTTCTTGCTACCGTGTGTAATTTAATGTAAATTAGACTAACCCGCCTGCAACACAGTTACAAGTCTGTCGTGTAGAGAGGCACATGTCCCTGCTCTTCTCATAAATGGCACCATTCCTTCCCAGGGAGCTGCGCTAATAACAAGATCACACTCATGCATCTGCAGAGCATCACTTGGAAGCGTTCTCTTTTCGCCCAGTTTTGAAATTATCAGCAAGCATTTTCAAAGCAAAGCTGGCATCCTCCCTAACTGTAAGAGAACAGGGAAGCCCACAGAAATATCCAGCTTGCTGTCACCACGCGTGCCCTGCAGCGGGTTATGAAACACTGCCACAGCCCAGATGCCATCCACCCGCTCCGAGAGGTGGCGCCCACGCTATATGCCAGACAGTGCCAGTTCCGACACACAGAAGTCAGTCTCTCTGCAAAACAATGGCCAGTTGGGGGAGAGAGCTTGTACCAGTGCACGAAATACCACCCCACCATCTCCTGCTCACTCGGTGACAACCCAGGCCAGCTGCACGACTGGGCAGGAAAACAAGCCAGAGAGCTCAGAAGTCCAACTGAGGCAGGCGCTGGAACCACTGAGCTAAATCCCTGGCCCTCTCAGAAGTCAAACTGAAATCAAAGAGGAAGCAAACATGAACAGCTCAGAAGAGCTTACACTGAAACTTTATGCAAAATCTTTGGTTTTCTCCACAGCTCCCGGAATCACACCCTTTGTTTCCCACACACAGAACGACAATCAGAAAAGACTCCTTCCTTCCACGCTCAGCGGAGAGCATGGAGATGCAGTCAGCCCAGCACTGCCTTTGCTGCTGTCCTTTCCAGTTCTGTGGGCATCAGCTTCCTCCAGCCTCCGAGCAATCCCGCCATCCACTCTGTCACAAACACTGCAAAGCCCACCCACACCACACTCCTCCCTCTGACTCCTCTGTCCTGCGGGCCACTTCTTCTGAGACGTGTTAGGTAAAGCACGGTGTGCGCCACGGTGTGTGAATTCAGGTGTACTCTGAGACTTTTTTGTACAGGGCCTTTGCACTGAACTACATCCCCAGCCCCCCCATATATATATGTATGTATGTGTATATATATATATGTGTGTGTGTGTGTGCGTGTGTGTTATATATATACATATTATATATATTATATATTATAAATTATAGATATTATAGATATACATATTATACACACACACACACACACACACACATATATATATATATACATTTTTTGAGACAAGATCTCATTAAGTTACTAAATTGCCTAGATAGGGTTCAAATTTACTATCCTCCTGCCTCAGCCTCACAAAGTGGTGGGATTTTAGGTGATTCTTAACAATGTTTTAATCTATTCTCCACAGAGATCTCAGAAGAGGAAGAGAGAAGCCAGGGAAATTCATTTTACTTAGTGTTACACAAACGGAAACACATCTTGTATGCTAAAATAGATCCAGGATCATCATAGCTTGGGACACAGTCAGCTTGAAAGAAATGTTAAGCTGCTGGTTTTTCTAGACTCATAGGAGCTCAGAGTTGCAAGAAAGAGGGAATTCCCTTACCGAAGGGAAATGCAGGAACTGTGCAGGCCCCAAGAGGCCCGCGGCTGAGGGGACAGAGGATGCAGTCCTGGCCGCGGGGCCACATCCCTCCCTCCTCACTGGGACTCGGCCCTGAATGGGAGAGTCCATGGAAATTTCAACACATCAGAGAGTAACAATCCCAGTCGCAGAAAGCCACAGAGAAGCCATTATAGAAATCTGAATCCAAAAATCAATGATTAATATTTAAAAACACAAATACGAAGTGTTCCTTGCCAAGCCCTTCCAACGACATTAAATGATCTCAAACTGCTGCTACCACACTGCCACAAGCCCGATGTTTCAATGCCTGTCCACAGAACACAAGCACAACACTGGACAGTAGCTACCTGTACTGAGAACTTAGTACACTGAGCAGGAGTCACCGGCACCCTTACTGCATTAGTGCATCACCATAGAGATGCTGCCGTTCTAAATCCAAGTTACCTGTTTCTCCTATGTCCTATAACCTCGCAGGAGACAACTCAAACTTTTGTTATTTCGGTTCTTGCTAAGAACTGTGTAGTCCCTTACACTGTGTGAAACAGTTTTGGTGAGAATCTTACTGTTTGACTCACAAGAGACATCGGCGGTAGCTTCTTGCCCACTGCCCCTTTTGACGCCTGCGTGATCAGCAGGATGTCATGTCCTGTGTGC